GCCTGTGGCTCCATCCCCACCAGGGCCCTGTGGCTGGGCAGTCCAGCCCTGGGCCCCAAACCCCACACATTCCCCATGCGGACAGCAGCCCCAGCCCTGCCCAACTCCCTCCCTATAGTGACCTCAATCCCCCCTCCCCACTCCCTCCTGCCAAACTTACCTGCGGGAGCTGCTCTACAGGCTGCCTGGCAGCCATGTGCATATACCCCCTGCCTGACCACCCTCCTCCCACTCCCCTCAGCCCCTTGCAGGCTGGAACTCTTCCGGCCTGCAGAGAGGTTTTTGCAAATGTGAAAAATGTGGGCGTTTCTCCATTAAGATGAAAAATCTGTTTTTTTCTTGCGTAAAGGGGGTAATCTGCATTTTTTTCTGTTTTTCCATGGGAAATGGAAAACCCAGACCCCTTGTAATAAGTGACAATAAATGCCTGTCCAAGATCAGCGTCAACTCATTAAATAAATACTTGACGTAATATGAAAGGAGTGATTTGGGCTGGTGGTTTGGATGTCATGGACCATCACTATAACATTTTTAACCTTTAGCAAAATCCCAAGAGCCCTGAAATAAATGTTCATTATGAAAAATTGTTCTGTTTAACATTTGTGATTACTGTCAATTTCTTTAAAATAGAGCAAAGTAAACATAGTATTATTCTAAAACTAAAACATCTGCCTCTCAAAAGCTAAATTTAAATATTGTAATTTATTCCCACCCAGGAACAGTTCTGCCATGGGGTACTGAATACTCAGTATTCCAACACAAAAACCCAAACGCATATTTTATTCTGATCTTGTGTCATGCTCAGAATTATCAGGTATAAGTTCTGTAAATTCTCCATGTCTTTAAGATATACACAGATTTTGAATATGTGGTATTACAAAAGATGTGCTATTGTTACTGTCTCGGACGGCAAGAGCCGACTCGAGGTGATCCAACAATTACTTGTTCGTTGGGCGGGCTGGTGAATAGAGAGGCGGACAAAGCTTAATGGTTGCAAAACTTTACTTACACCGCTTGTAGCTGCGACGCAGACGGTCCGGTCGTCTGAACAACTATGTTAGTTGTTCCAGCTGGCAGGGCTCAAGCTAGCTCGTCCGTCCACAAATCAAGCCGGTGGGGAAAGGGTACGTCAGGGATTGCGCTCGGCAACGGGGAGAAGAATCGATAGGTGATCAGTCTATCGATCAGCTCAGCCGCAAGTCAGATCTCTTTAGAGGCACTCTGCAGCGTGCTCAAAGTTCTCCGACTTGGGCGGAAGTCGCACGAAATTTTAAACGGCTAGCAAGCCAATTACTAGCCGCCACGTAGGAATAATTTAGAACTGGCCAATAGCGGGACACAAATTTGCATTCAAATGGCGGGAACTCTCTTGCACCAGGGTTTTTCTGTTGCAACAAAAACCTTTGCTGTGCAAGAGGCTCTCATGTGGCGGGAAAATTCCATCATGCCGAGGCACCAAAATCACTGGATTGTGACAGTTACCATTTAATTCTGTTCACTGGAACAATCAGTAATATATGTATTAACTGTTAAACTGCAGTCAGTTGCCAGTGGCACAGAGAAAAGTTAAAAGTCAGTATTTCAAACCGTCAGCAGAAATGAGTATCAGATGTTAATACCCACAAATAGCTATGCTGAATAAAATCTATTCCAAGGTAAGCATTATCTAATGACTTTTAAAAAATCATGATCCAGGGGAGCTCTAACTACTTAATACATTAATACAATTTACAAGCAGCATCTGCACTCAAAAAATATGGAAATACGGAGAAATACAATTTAAAGGCAATTAAATATTTTGAGTTATGAAGCTTTTCCCTTCTTCATGAAAGTTTGGTGGTGCTGAAGATGACATACTGAAGAATAACTAAAGTGAAAAACTACTTGCTACATTTAATTACAGATTTTGAGCAAGTGCTTACTGTTTTGTAATTATGTGCAACTGTAGACAGATCAAACAGATTAAATCTGGTGTATGGCATTTTTAACTTTGCAAAAAACGCCAGAGTGAGGTTTAAGAACTTAAGATAACATAGCTGCTTACAGATGTAAAACGACCTGGAAAACAGCGCTTTACTCTAAACTTGGCACAGCCCAGCACATGCCCAGAAGAGGCATCGCATTAGTTTGACCCGGCTTGCCCAATGTCTGTATAGATCGGGCACTTCAGCAGGGCTTTTTTGGCATTTTTATCAAATAGCTGCTTGAACCAGTTTTAGAAAAAAGTGCCAAAAAGCCCTGCTGAAGCATCCAATTTATACAGATGCTGTGGAGCAGGGTCAAACAAGTAAAGTGCGTTTCTTTTCATTCCCAACCCCACCCCCCCAAATCTGTTAGTAGCCACAGATGTCTTAATGTTTAAGTACCAAAGAGATATTACAGAATAGAATGACTTTTTCAAAACATATTTGGAAAACTCAATTATAAGAACTACATCTACAATGACTAGATCAGTTATTCATTTTCTTGGTACAATACCAACTATTAATCAAACAACTAGCTATGTTTCTTATGAATAAACATCACTGATAATGCAGGGACTGAATCTAGAAAAGCTCAAAACATATTACAGAAAGACTTGCTGTTAAGAGGCACTCAACCAAATGTTTTATATCATATTTAAAAAGCGAAAAAGTTTACATACCCTTCTCCACCAATTTTTGTTATCTTTAGGCGAAAATCAACAGAATTCAGACTGGGAGGCTTCCATTTTAAAATATCATCACATCGACCAGGCTTGTATTTCTAAAGCAAATTAAAGAGCAATTTAATCATGCTTATAAGCTGATATTCAATAATTCTTATGGTGTCAAATGCTTCTAAATGACATTGCTCATAAAAGACAAACTATGATCTCTGGTACTCCTGGGGTAGCTGAGCTCTAGCATTTTACATTACTTGAAGTATTTGGTAAAATATAACAAATTACAATACTTGCACAGAAGGAAGATTCAGTACTTAGTATTTTCTTTTAAACTGATTAGTTATCATTACTAATATTGAAGTAAAACAACTGCATAAGACAAAATACTGAGAAAGAAAATATAAATTAACATAATTGTTATACCTGACTAACAAAGATTAAGGTTAACAAAGATTAAGATTAAGACTAAAGGCAGAAGGTAGGGCAGTATGGCAATTTAGAAATAAAGAGTGCCTATATACAAACAGGGAGGCTGCTCCAACGCACTGTAATTCCAGTGTGTTGGAGCAAACTTGATTAATCTAGTCTGCTGGAGCATGGCAATTGCCATGCTTTGTCAGCCTCCCGCATTTCATGCATCAGTGTCCCCATGCTTCAAAATGGTAACGGGGGTGCTTTAGCTAAAGATTGTTTGATGAGCCTCTGGGCACACGTGCATAAATGCCCTAACTCAGGGGTTTTCAACCTTCTGGATACACTTCTGGCAGGGAGAGGGCTTGCATGTGGCAGTGGAAGGTACCCCCCCCCACCCCAGTGATGCGGCCTGAAGAGGGGAGCCACTGCCCTCGCTCCCCTCCCCAGTCATGGGAGGTGGCGGCATGGAGTGATAGGTGGCGCTGCTCCACCCCACCTTCCTGCATGTACCCCCTAGCCCTTTTCCAAGTACCCCTGGGGGTACACATACCCCCAGTTGACAACCCCTGCCCTAACTGATTCAGAGTTCAGACTAACACAGCTTTTTCTAACAGCACAACAGTAATCAAAAAGCTGAAACTAGAAAGCAAGTATAAAACTGATGGATAACAAAGTTGCTATCAAATGTGTCAAAGTGTAAAAGCATATTTTAGGCAACCTCAAAGTTATTGGATTATCTGAAAACTGATGTTTATGCTACTTGTGTTTGGTTGGGATTTTCTTCCCAGCGCAATAAGAAAAAAACCTGTCATGCATCATTATGTTATCTCCCCAGACAGGTCCAATTAGAAACCTGTTTTTCTTACAAAGGAACCTGTAACATGTAAAAATTGAAGAAAATTATGACAGTTAATTACAGACACTAATTTTCTTCGACCTAGAAACATAAATATGCTTGGGCCAATTGCCTTGAGAGACAGGATACTTGCTTGTTTGACTTGTAAAAGGCCACAGCTAAAATAATAACAAAAGGCATATGACATTAAGTAGTCACCAGCTAATTGTATTTTTATATAAGGGGTGGAAATGGCTAGGCAATTATTGTGTTTCCTAGTACTGTATGTTATTCTAATATAATGCTGTTTGGTAAGGTAGGACTCTTCTATGAAATTCCACAGATAAGAAGCTCATAGCACTTTGCAGAGAAGTACACATTCTGGATTCAGAATTTCTATTTCATTATAATGAGACAAAAAAAAAATATAATTAAAAATAAAATTGGCTCAAACTGCTACAGTCCTGGGTGCATGTGTAAATGCTGTGCCTGGGAGCAGAGGTGTAGGTTGTAGCCGTGTTGGTCTAAGGACATATTCAGGTTGGTCTAATAAAAGATATCAAATTCACCCAAGGAACCTTGTGTGCCTGGGAGCAGTTTTCTCTGGCACAAACTGTACTGGAGTTTATCACATTGCCTTAATGACACGTGTAGATGCTCTCAGAGTGTTAGAGAGATAGATACCACAGACAAGTCTTATCAGACATTAACCATGAGGTATTATTAGAGATAGTGAGGGTAGAAGAAATAATACCAGAATAACAAGGTAGAGCAACAAGCCATCAATACTTCATATGTAAGATATTTAACTAAAGATTTTGTAGGAGCTTCCAAATCAAGCTGCCAAATCATGAAAAACGTCATCTCATTAAAAACAGATTCTCTTTCAAGAGTTTGGAGCATAGTAAGTATTGCACCTAACTTCATAAAAGATGTAGAGGTAATCTAGGGAAGAGGTTCTCAAACTGTGGTCCGTGGACCACCACTGGTCCATGAGCTCCATTTAGGTGGTCTACAGAAAGGTTGCGGAACAATCGAGAATATCTGTACTTGGCCCTGCACTTGATTTATTTTTTCTGACAATCGAGATTAAGTGGTCCACCAAGACCCTCAGCAATTTTCAAGTGGTCCATGAAAAAAAAAGTTTGAGAGCCACTTATGTAGGGAATTACAAACCAGGGTCATTTTTCAGAAATGGGAGAATGAACTGAAATGATAAATTAAAAATAGAAATTTAAGGTACTTAAATGAACACCACTGCTTCCTCATATAAAAGGTGTTTTTCCAAAGTTTGTACATTAACAAAATGGTAAATTAAATCAGCTGACAATTCATTTAGATTTTCAAAAAGACTTGGTCTAAATGAAACACATGTAAGGCTATGAGGACAAAAAACTCTCAAATGTAAATGTCTAGTTAGGTTCCTTGATCCACATTTACAGTTCATGCTGATATCAACTAAAGTAATAGGTGCTCACCATTTCTAAAGATTCAGACACATAAGTTTGCATCCCTAAATACTGTTTTAAGATTCTAATTGTAAACACTGATCTTAATTTTTTTTTCACCTAGACAGTCAAAGATTAGATTTAAATACTTGCATGCCCTTAGAAATTTGAAATAGCCATGCACAAAAACGTAGCATGGGGTAAAAAAAATGGTCAGCACAGCAAAAATTTACATTGTGGAGTCAATGCTGTTTAACAACTTTATTAAATGATAGTGAGTATGCACAAAACAGTAAGGTGGCAAATTTTAAAGATCAAACAAAATTACTTGATTAATCAAGACTAGAGAAGACTCTGAGGAATTTAACTGCCACCTCGAAGCCAGATGAATAAACAGCAAAGCAAAAGCTGAAATACCCTACTGATAAATGCAACATAATGCACACTTGATCATAGGGAAATAGGACTGGAAGAGACATCATGAGGTCATGTTGTCCAAAGGGCAGATCCAGGAGGGTACACTGATGCATTTGCACTCCCTTTTGATTCCTGATCCATCAAGGGTTTAAAACCAACTGCCTGGCAGTAACAGCAGCATTTCTAGTCAGGCAGTGTTGAGGGAGTCACTTGATTTCATGCCTCATTATAATCTACCTGATTGCTTCTACATTCTTCATTCCACTGGTATTAATAACCCTCTCTTCTTAATGGCCATGATGTTCCACCAATCAAGTTAGCCTTTGCTGTGAAGTTCTGCTATCTTCTCCCTTCTCCTGGTAACGAAGCTCCTATTTCACAGCCTTGCAGGTTGTTTTTAAATTAGATTGGTTTTTGCTTCAATCTTAAACTGAATAATACAGCCTTGGGTCCTGGCACATTATTTAAGATTCTAGTTTATTTTTACCTGGAGAAAAATGTGTGTTGTGTTATATGTGATGATGCACCTCACCATCTGCACCACCTTTTTCAAAATTCTAAGTCTGCCCATGTCCAGTCCCGAATCGAGGTAGGATCATTCCTCCCTAAACCATCACATGCGTCTGTCTAACCCACTCCTGAAAACTGAGGGATACAGATTTCAAAACCTAGCCTGTTCCAAGGCTTGACCACCATCACAGTCAGAAAGTTCTTCCTAATCTCTAGTCAAAATTTCCTGTGCTGCAGTTTAGAGCTATTGCTCCCAGTTGTGACCCTATGGCCACAGAAAATATGTAATATTTTTTACTACAAACACAAACTGCTACATTTCAAGTTAACTAGAGCAGATCAGGTAGGATAGCTGGGCATTCAATAAGAACACATACCTTATTTACCTGAAACTAAGACGACTTCCCCCCCAGTAGTTAGATTACATAAACAGAAAAATATACCTTTGTTATAACTGTACATGTACAAAATCTAATTATTGGAGGGTCATCTCAAATTTGTCCCAAACCATGGGTGGGAGGGCAGGCAGCCTGATACCCATACCTTGCTTCCCCACCACTTGCCTCCCATGCCTGCACCACTGCTGCCTGTCCCATTTGCCCCCACCCCCATATCTCTGTGGCCTGTCCCCCATGTCCCTGCCTTGCCCGTCTGCCCAATCCCCAGATCCCCAAACCCTGCTGCGGCTTGATCCCCCATTACCTACCCTAACCCCCATGAGCAATGCCGTCCTATACCCAAAAACACTGTTGCCACCTACCCTAACCAACATGGATCAGAAGATAGGGCAGCAGTGCACTGGGGGATAGAGCAGAAGCTTGGGCCAGAGGATAAGTCACCAGCACACTGAGGGATGGGGCAGAGGTCAGAGAAGCAGTACATGGTGCTGCCCCACCCCCCATCCTGGGCTCCTGCCCTACCTTTGATTTTGCTGCTGCTGCCACATCCCCTGATGCAGCTGCTGACAATCAGAAGTGTAGGTCAGGGGATAGAGCAGCAGCATGTTGGGGGATGGGGAAGCAGCACAAACTATTGCTTCATCCCTCAACACACTGCTGCCCCCCCAATCAGAAGCATAGGTCAAAGGGGTGTTGCTGCCCTATCCCCAGACCTGCCCTGCTGCCCTTTCTCCGTCTCTGATCCCTCACCCAATCCGCCACCCACAGTGCCATCCATCCCCTGCACCCATCACCAACCCATGTTGCCGCCCATCCCAGACCATAGCCCCGGTCCTTTACCCGCACTTGCTGCATTGCTGCTGACTGCATGGTTCAAGAAGCAGCAGCAGTAGCAGCCTGGGCCAAGATCAGAGGTTGGACAGGGAAGAGCCCGAGCACTGGTACGTGGATCCAAGATAAGACCTGTTTTTTCTCCCCTGCTGACTGAAGGGGAAAAAACATCATCTTGGATTCAAGTAAATATGGTAAATTATGGGAAAGTTATATTGCTTAAGATGACAAATCACGCCAATGTACTA